TGTATTTATACATTGAAATGCCTGACTTATTTTACTTTTGGTCTAAAGGGAAGTAGATTAACTTTTGACCAGTATTAACCATGTCATTGTGTACATTCATTAGGGTCTAAATGAAATGTAGCCTGCTGCAATACCGTTCATGGCCTGTAGGTGGGACTCCAGCTTTCCAATCAGTGTCTGCACACCAAGGCAGATCTGGGAAGAAAACAACAAGGCAAATGTTTCGTGAGGTTCACCTCACCGTGGAAAATCCTAATAGTAAGTTTCTCCATGTATTATCTGATGATCATACAGGAAAGAGCAAGCCACCACTGATGCACATGAGAAATATGTTGAGGAACACTCACTCTGTTCTGGATTCTTCTGATGATGTACCCCTTGAAGTTGTCCACAAGAAGCTGGATGATCTCACTATTAACAAATGAAAATGCAGTGCTTATAACTTGACATCAAGATCACTCTCTGCATCTCCCCCTCCCTCTGTTCTACTGTACCTTGCTCCACCATAGAGTGCAATGTCCACATCTCCAATTTTAGCATTACAGCTGCCACTGCTGACGGACAGACGCCCTCCAGCATCCTTCCCCAGCTCCACTACAGAGGTCACATCCACCATGGATGCAGCCAAATCAAATGATCCACTCTGACTTCTGGAAATGCACAGTACAAACAAATCAGTGCATGGTGTTATTGGTAAAGAAAAAAATAAAGTGAGTCTTGACACTTTATCATTTAATTCTCTCTCTACAATGTTGTTAGGCAGAAAAAAAAGTGAGGATTATGTTGAATAAGCCTCTAGCCAGTGATGTTCCACACTAAAAAAATGAGTTAAATACAATCCATTGCCAGTGATGTCATGCCTTTAAAGAGACACTTCCTTAAATGACCCCAGATCAGCTATGAACAGAAATGCTCTTTTGAACCACACCCTCATTATGTACACTTCTCCATTACTACTGTCTAGTGCAAGTGTGTACCGTATACAATTAAATGATAATATTTAGAAGGAGCAAGTAATTATTTATGAATCTAATTTGATGTTTTTGTGTCTTCATAAAGTGGACAATCACATTGTCTCAGGTGTGTCTCTCTTTCCCAAATGGAAAAAGTGAGACACTACCACCAACCCTGACTGAACAGCTGTGGGGTTACTGCCTTTCTGATCAAGGGACAGCAGAGATTAGGAAAAACTCACATTATGCCATAGTCCATCATCCACCCTCCACTCAGTACAGCATTGAGGCCTGAGATGGACGCCTTGAATCCAGTGGCATCTGGATAGAACTGAACAGACGGCTCTGGAAGGTCCCACTTTACTATGCGGATGCTAAAACACATGGGAAGAAGAAGAAGATTTTAATAGGTGTGAGGACCTGACTAATGTAAACAGGTCTAATTATACTATTAAGGAATATACTGTGCTGTGGTAATGGTGCTCAGGATATGTAACTGGACAACTACAGAATTACTGACCATAGAGCTCAAATTGTGAGTATGACTGTGAGGAGGTCATCTTAAACTGGGATAGTATTTTATAGTTTGAAATGGAAAAGTAATCCTACCCTGTTAGAGTGTAGTCTACGCTGCCAAAAATGCTGATGTCAATTTCACCAGTGATGTCAGGGAGAGTGATAAGATCCAGCTCCTTCTGAATCCAGTCTGTAACTGCATGCTTTCCTGAGACAACACAGGCATAAATTGTTGCGGATGAAACA